AGCTGAGAAGTTTTTAGAATCAGTTGAAGTGAACCAGAATTATCCATTGCTTCTTTTACATCTCGTGGACAAGTCTGAAGTCAATATAACCATCAGAATTGCTGGTGCAGTTGCATTCAAAAATTATGTGAAACGTAACTGGAAAGTGGTAATTATTTACATTAAGTGTTGCATGCTTCTATCAATTCATTGAACTGACTGTGACGTAATTCATTTTTTATCTAGGAAGAAGATTCCGTAGATCGTATTCACGTGCAGGACAGGGAAACCATAAAGAAATTAATTGTTAATTTAATGTTACATTCTCCAGACTCCATTCAAAAACAGTTATCTGATGCTGTTTCAATCATTGGAAAGTATGATTTTCCAAATAAGTGGCCAGAGCTTATAGACCAAATGGTTGAGAAATTTGGTACAGGAGACTTTCATATTATTAATGGTGTCTTGCATACTGCGCATTCACTATTTAGAAGATACAGATACGAGTTTAAAAGTCAAAGCCTGTGGACTGAGATCAAATTTGTATTGGACGGATTTGCGAAGCCGCTAACAGAGTTGTTCGTTGTAAGAATATTATTATGAGAGTTTATCAGTTAAGCTTGTTCTGGTTATAAGTTGAAACAGTGATACATGTTTAAAATTCTCCAAATAAATAATTATTACTTTATTAAAGTCACATATAAAATTTGAAGGAAATTAAGAAGCTCGTTTCCGAGTTATGTCAATCTGAAATTAACACGTGTTCTCATGAAATTTAATGAAATGTAGCTACATTGCTGCATTAAATCGAAAAAGAACTAAAAACAAAACAGTGTCAAGATTTAAAAATTCTTTTACAATAATTAATTATACTAGGAATATATTTCGTCGATAATATTTAGAGAATGATATAAGAAATATTGTTATCAATACACAATTAATTCACGAGTGACATACGCAAAATCCCTGAAACAGTTGAAAATGAGATAATAGTAAAATTAAAATAAGAGGAGGATACTAGTTAAACGATCTTAATAATTACTTTATCATATATCAATTAAAATACACCTTTTAGGGCGAATAGTTATGTAGCAAAAGTAGAAAATACACTGTAATTGGAACATATAACTTTTTGAGAACATTGTATAGTCAGAAGAACCTTAAACATTACTTTTTGTCATCAGTACAATTTTTCATTCTCCTGTAGGCTACAATGAATTTAACGGAAGTACATGCGAACAACGTTGATGCATTGAAAGTTATTTACAGTTCTTTGGTAATTCTATCGAAAGTGTTCTTCTCCCTCAATTACCAAGTAAGTAAAACATTTATTACAACAAAACTCTGTTCTGAAACTGTACATATTTTGTTTGCAGGACTTACCAGAGTTCTTCGAGGATAATATGGCTACGTGGATGAGGAATTTTCATATTTTATTGAACACTAACGTTCCTTCCCTGCAGTCTACCGTACTGTTACACAAAACTTTATTATTAATTTCCTCTTAATAATCTATATTACAATCGTCTTACGTGTGTACAGGACGAGGAAGAAGCGGGAGTAATCGAACAATTAAAGTCACAGGTCTGTGACAATATTGGCCTTTACGCTCAGAAATACGACGAAGAGTTTCAACCGTATCTACCCGAATTCGTAACCGCGGTTTGGAATTTACTGACGTCTACGGGCCAGCAACCGAAATACGATACAGTATGTACATTCAATATATTCAGATCTTATTTCAAGCAGACCTTACAACCGCGCTGATAACACGCTGTATTTCGTTTTTTACAGTTAGTTTCAAACGCTTTGCAATTTTTAGCAACGGTTGCCGACCGTGCTCAATACAGACACTTGTTCGAGGATCCAACTACTCTAGGTAGTATCTGCGAGAAAGTTATAATACCTAATATGGAATTCCGAGGTAATTATTATTAGCAATGATACGTTTAAATTGCGTGCAAGTGTACCAATCTGCGATTAATGTTGCTGATACTCGATAGAATCGGATAATGAATTGTTTGAGGATAATCCGGAGGAATATATCCGACGGGATATCGAGGGTAGCGACGTCGATACGAGAAGACGCGCCGCTTGCGATTTAGTCAAAGTGCTCTCGAAATATTTTGAAGCGAAGATAATGGAAATTTTTGGTGCCTACATACAGGTAAACAAATAAAAACAGTATAATCACGGTGAATATCCGAAGCGTATAATCATTTACATATCGTTAGGTCATGTTACAAACGTATGCCGAGAATCCTGCAGATAATTGGCGGAGCAAAGACGCTGCTATTTATTTGGTCACCAGTAGCGCGAGCAAAGCTCAGACGCAGAAACACGGTGTCACACAGAGTAGCGAGCTCGTCCCATTGCCGCAATTCGCGATGCAGCATATCGAGCCGGAATTAGTTAAACCAAACGGTATAAAAAATTCACGAGATAAACTTGCATTTTATATTGGGTCAATGCAAAAGTACTTGCCTGATTTGAAATAAGATATTATTTAAGATATCTTTTACATTTTATGGTAAAAGTTTTGTATGGAGTCATCCCTATTTACTATTTTTTTTAACGAGCAGGTGGATTGATTTTTTGTAATTAATATTTATTGCTAATTTCCATATAATAATAAAACAATGATGAAACATACATCTATGCCGAAATACGATGATATCCAATCCGCCTCTGAAAATCAGACATGGACTTTTCCATTGACCTAGTATTTCCAAAAAAATACTATAGATTAAAATATGTCATACGTTTCAGTGAACGAATTCCCTGTGCTGAAAGCTGATGCGATTAAATTTATAATGACGTTCAGATCAGTATTACCGAGGGAAATGATAGTTGGCAGTTTACCGCAGTTGATCAGACACTTAAGTGCCTCAAATATAGTTGTGCACACTTACGCTGCTTGTGCGATCGAGAAAATATTTGCAATGAAAGGACCAGACAATTTAGCTTTGTAAGCAAATTAATTACCCTCTTAAATAGTTACAATTTTATTACGATATTCGTAATTATGTTCGTTTGCAGAGTGAAAGGAAATGATTTATCACCGTTGACAGCGGATCTGTTGAAAGGACTATTCGCGTGTTTAAACATACCAGGCTCGGAGGAGAACGAATACGTGATGAAAGCCGTTATGAGAAGTTTTGGTACCTTGCAAGAGATAATTGTGCCATTTTTAGCAGATCTGTTGCCGAAGCTCACGGAGAAACTTGCTATTATATCTAAAAATCCAAGTCGCCCCAACTTCAATCATTACCTCTTCGAAACGTTCGCTTTATCGATTAAGTAAGTACTTCGACTCATGTAAGAATAATAAAATGCACGAATCGGTAACGAGAGTTAAGTATATAAATATGTGATTTTAGAATTGTTTGTAAAACGCACAAAGTCGCGGTTTCATCGTTTGAAGAAACTTTGTTCCCAATTTTCCAAGAGATTTTACAGCAGGATGTTTCAGGTAAGATGTTTCATTCAAAAATCATATCGCAAGTGTTTTAATCTATACATTTCGTTACAGAATTTCTTCCATACGTCTTTCAAATTCTCGCTTTGCTCTTGGAATTACGAACTCAGGAAATACCGGAAGCGTATTTGGCCTTGTTCCCTTGCCTGTTGTCATCCGTATTATTCGAACGACAAGCTAACATTCATCCGTTAAATCGACTGTTAAGAGCGTTCATTAGTCACGGTGCACAGCATATAGTAGCTCAAGATAAATTGAATGGTCTGCTAGGTGTATTCCAGAAACTTATTGCTTCCAAAGTGAACGATCAAGAAGGTTTCCTATTGTTGCAAAGTATCATTGAACATTTTGCACCGTAAGTAGAGTTTTCTGATACGAATTTCTTTGTTAACATGTCCACTAATAGGAGAACATTTTCAGGAATATATTGGAGCCGTACATGAAACAAATTTTCGTATTACTTTTTCAACGTCTTTCATCGTCGAAAACGACGAAATTTGTAAAGGGTCTAATCGTGTTCTTCGCGTACTACATCATTAGATACGGTTCAAATAGTTTAGTTACAATTGTAGATCAAATACAGTCTAGGTGAGTTGGTTGTTCAGAAACGTTATAGAAATAATCGCAAATTAAATATGATATATACACACATGTGTGTGTGTGAATATGTTATCATTTTATTTGCAGGATGTTTGGTATGGTCGTGGAACGCGTATTAATAGCAGATCTGAAAAAGGTGTCTGGTGACATCGAGCGAAAAGTAACAGCTGTCGGAATGTCGAATTTGTTGATCGATTGTCCGGCGCTGCTTGAAAAGCCGTACAATACGTATTATCCTAGTTTGTTGGCGACGTTAGTAGAATTTTTTGAATTACCGCAGGATCAGACTACGATACCCGAGGATAGCATTATTTTTCCCGAACCCGAAGACGCGCCCGGTTACCAAGTCGGATACAGTCAGCTGCTTTGCGCGAAGAACCCTACGAAGGATCCTTTGGAAGGTACCATCAGTAGCTAAATGATTTTCGTAAGAAGTAATTAAGGGGCAATCCACCATTTTTTTAGAATTTTTTATGGGAATGTACAGGGTGTTGGACTACAGGTAATAAAAATTTTAAACGGTGATTTTAGAAGTTAAAATATAATAAAAATGAAGAATAAAAAATTACGCTTATAATTAAAAAATGGAGCCTCAGGCGCAATTTTCTATTCTTAACATTTGCCTTATTTTGACTTCTAAAAATACTTATTAAAATGTTTCTCATCAGTAGCCGAATATCCTGTAATGAGCGCAACACAAAATCTTTATTATACATGCAGCTAGCCAAAACAATTCTCCCATTTAGTGTCTTTCTAAATTTAATTTAAATGATTTTTATTAGAATTCCTGTAATGAAACTTGAAACGTAAGAATTTTTCTTCGCGTCGACCAAAGTGACGGGATACAAAAGTGCTTCGTGATTGCGTTATAAATAATAACGTTATTGCTTTCTAAGGGTCTAGCCATATTTCTAGGATATCTACCTTTAATTTGAGTCGTGTTTCGATGCGAAGTGTCCTGTAACTATCGTTCTGGGTAGCTGTAGATAGTTTTAGGTGTTTCTCACGCTATTTTTCCGCTAGAGTGGCTCTACCCCTTGATACTATATACATATATTCTTATCTTAATAAATGTTTGTATTGAATCGCACAGCTATCGGCGATGTGCGTTTGCATTTGGCACAAGGTCTGGCAAGATTATCACCGAGACAACTGCTGAGTATCCTAGACCAAATCCCGGAACCAAACGCAAACCATTTGAGGAGCTACCTGCAAACGGTCGGCATTACTGTTGCATAATACGAGCTAGACGTCCGAGATAGACTGAAAGTTCACCTGATAGCTCGGAAAATAAATAACATTGAATTAAACAAATTGTAACGAGAGCGAACGAAGTTGTTTTCCAGTACTCTTGTGTTTAGAAGAACGTGTAACGAGACTGAATATTGTACGTTTACCTGTCGTGTAATTGATTATCTCATTTATTATTAATACTTTTTATGCGATAAAATCGTATCAGAGTCTGCGACTCAGGGATTAACAAGTAGAAAAAATGGAAAACGAAAAAAAGATTGTAGCAAAAAAGTAATTAACGAACATGTTATCTGCGTGCGAAAACATTCCCGAGTATTGTTTCGAATCCGAATCAGTTTTTGTAAAATAAAACGGGAGTGATAACCGCAAGTTTACCTTTAGACTATAGCTGGTCTCTTATTTAATAAAAATACGTGAATGTCTAATCAAATGACGGTGTTGTATAATGGCCTGTGAGTAAATTAATTGTTAAGTACTTTTTAAGCTTAGATGTACAATTTTTATGCCTACTATCTTTGTAACGATTGTTGAACAAAAATTTTAATCGCATTTTGTATTTTAAACGTTCTTGTTTATATTTTCCCTCTCAAACTTCAACGAGGTAGACCTTGTGAAAGTTTTCCGCAAGTAAAGTGCAACATAAACATTTATTAGAGGAATTTATATAATGTGTTCGCGAGCGAAAAGAACGAATTAAAATTATCGTTATAAACATTTTTCGTACGGAAGTGTCGCGAATCGTTCATTAAAGCTAATCAACATAAATAAGTAGAGTCGTAGTCTATAGTAGGTATATATAGTGGTATATATAGTATATTTTTTATGTCAATAAAGTTTTTCGAAATAAAATAATATATTTGATTTTATAAATTAACAGCAATTCATGAACCGATCGATTCAATTTGAATTATCTTTAGTATCGGAACATGAACAATTTCTCAATTTTGGTGTTTCGATGAAAATCGGGTTTGCAACTTGCAACGAAGAGTCCGGAACTGCCACGCGGAAAAGGTTACCGATCTGTGTCTAACGTCTGTTATCAATGACGTGTATTATGGCAGTGTAGTGTCTGATGTTTTTTACATAGCGATTGACATATACTTGCGCTAGGCAAGTAGTTAGTAATCACAGACAAACAATACAGGATGGCGAGAATAATTTTACTTTGTCTGTTATTTCTCGTATCGACGATTCACCGCGGGACGGCCTTTTATTTGCCGGGTCTCGCGCCTGTGAATTATTGCAAAAAGGAAGACTCCTCTGATATCTGTAAAGTACGTAATGTTGAAAGTTATTTCTCTCATTTTATATCACCGCTTGGTTATGATTACGTCAATGTCGCTCCGTGTATATTATACAAGTTTCACATACGAATTCTACGTGTTTGTTGTATGTGCTCCTCGAACGTTGATCAAAGTTTAATTTCGATAGTTGATTTGTGGTGCTCGGATTCATTCGCGACTCATTTTCGGTAATTACAAATCGTGTCTCGACGTGGCCTTTTGTGACGTGCAATGCTTAATAATGTTAATTGAATCGTGAAAGCATTTAATTAAAATTATGATCGTGCATTGTACGTCGTTAAACTGATTTTAGTACGTGCCGAGATACTTTGTACTTAATTTGCATTTCAATTTCGGATTGCCGTTCGCAGAGCCGCTTATCTCCGCATTCATTTTCAGTCACACAGTCGCACATTCGATATTAAACACATGTATCTTCTTCTGTAATGTAAATATTGGCAAGAACACATGTAGTATTTGTAAAAAGTATGCAAAAATGTCCATTTAATAAATGATGTTTATTTCTTACAGCATAATATCAAGTTGTTTGTAAATCGTTTGAATACTGAAAAGTATATGATACCATACGAGTACCATCAGTAAGTTTTTATAGAACGTATGAACCAATGGCTTTCTTTACATTTTAAATTGATATATAAATAATGATCTTGTTCAGCTTCGATTTTTGTGCGGGCGATGAAAGTCAGAGTCCTGTTGAAAACTTGGGACAAGTTCTTTTTGGAGAACGTATAAGACCTTCTTGTTACGAGGTAGAACTCCAAAAATTGACACCAATTGTGTTTCTTTATAGAATACATATAGTTGTGTTATGAATTTTTAGTTATCGTTTATGAAAGATGAGAAATGCAAGGTAGCATGTAAAAAATCATATCGACAAGGAGACAAAGAGTCAGAAGAGAAACTGGACTTTCTGAAGAAAGGAATGGCTCTTAATTATCAGCATCACTGGATAGTTGGTAATATTCTGATGACAAATTGAACTTTGCTAAGATACATGTTACAGTCAGTATTATACCGTAAATCTTTGTAGATAACATGCCTGTTACATGGTGTTATCAATTAGAAGATGAACGACAATATTGCAGCACTGGTTTTCCGATGGGATGCTATTCTCGAGAATCAAGGTTTCAACTGGATAGCTGCAGTATTAATGTAAATTGAAACCCTCGCTTATTTTAAATGAAGAATTAATGAAGTAAAGTTCAGTAAAAGTTTTGTGAATTTTTTTTACTTAGAGCGCATACATCAAACCAGACAATTATTATTTGTTCAATCATGTGGATCTCACAATCACGTACCACAGTGGTGCTAAGGAAGAATGGGGGTCCACGTTTAAAGAAAACGGCGGACGAATAATCTGTAAGAACTGATCTTTTATTATACGGTTTTTTAGTTTTAGATAACTGTTACAATTATTTTCTTGACGCGACAGCTGTGAAAGTGGTTCCTCGGAGTATAAAGCATGAGAATACTCCTGATTGCGAACGCAAAGAGCCATTGAGGATACCGTCCGAACCGCTTCATGAAAAATTGGACATCACTTATACATATTCTGTAACATATGTAGTAAGTAATAGAATTATTATTGTGCAAATGATTTTGAGGAAGGAGGATGAGCAATTGTGTTTTGAATTTCAGCTAAATAATACAATCAAATGGTCATCCAGATGGGATTATATTTTAGAATCTATGCCACACACGAATATCCAATGGTTTAGTATTCTGAATTCGTTAATAATTGTTCTGTTCCTTTCTGGGATGGTGGCGATGATACTGCTCCGCACGCTGCACAAAGATATCGCGAGATATAATCAGGTAATTTAAATGACAATTGTATCTTCGTCCACGCTTCTTGTTTCACTGAGTTCATTACTAGATTGCAGATTTTTGTGCAAAATACAGCTTACATATTAATTTAATTATTACAATATGCACTCAGCTTTTAATTCTATACATAGAGTGCAATCTTTATACAAAGGCTTTGGTTGTCCCACGAAACAGTAGATAACCCTTAATTTTCTAAGTTATGGGAGATAGACAAAAGTTTTTATGTGGAACTTGCACAATTTAAGGGGCCACATCTTTTGATGCAAACCAATTTCTTTATGCTATTAATTAATAGGATACACTGGTCAAGTTCATTTTCTAAAATGGGAGGCTCTCCACAGGAGTGTTTCGTGGGACATCCTGTATATTGTCCACATTAAATCCACAGTCCATTTAATACTTTATTTGATTTCGTTGTTTTACGCATATTTCGTTCAAATCGTTTTACTAACACTAGCTGTTTAGGTTTGTTAATTAATTAACAACAACCCGACCCATCGCTACGTATTATTTTGTGTCATTAAGCTTTGATGTTCGTATGTCTGTGTTGCAATAACGCAGGCTTCTTTCCAGATAGAGTCAGGAGAAGACGCACACGAGGAATTCGGTTGGAAATTAGTACACGGCGATGTGTTCCGACCACCCCGAAAGGGAATGTTACTATCTGTTCTACTGGGCTCCGGTGTTCAGATCTTTTACATGACGCTCGTAACACTTGGTGAGTTCTCAAATGGAAATACTTATTGTACAAGTTTCATCTTCAAATATTTGCAGTAGACCAATAAAACTAGAGAGGCGTTTGAAAGCGTGAAATTTTGTTTTCACAGCGTTCGCTTGCTTGGGATTCTTGTCTCCCGCGAACAGAGGCGCTCTGATGACCTGCGCCATGATCTTGTACGTCTGCCTCGGAGCCACCGCTGGCTACGCGTCCGCTAGAATATACAAAAGCTTTGGCGGCGAAAAATGGAAATCGAACGTGCTGCTTACGTCTATGTTAAGTCCCGGGTAATGCGTGCAATCTACTTATTTGTAGGCGTATATCTAATCAAGCGATAAAGACCGATAAAAAGAGGTTGTTTGTAACATGATAAAATTACAAATTACCATAAATCAATCTAAGCAAGGTAAACGAGGTCATTAAATCCAGTAGAGCGTTAAAACAAATGTAGGCTGTTATAAGTGAGTCAATAAGAATACGAGGTAATAACAAATATTTGATATTTTCCAAATACCAGTTTTTTGATTCCTTAAATTGGCAAGAAAAGAATTGTACTTTTAAAGTATTTAGATTGCAGATTTTTATTTTTATAAATAACTATATTATTTATCATACGAATATATTTTAACTTGTTGCATGTGTTATGAAGCTGATGATAACGATAATTTTAATGAATCATTTACAGAATCGTATTCAGTTTATTCTTTATAATGAACTTAATATTCTGGGCGAATGAGAGTTCGGCGGCTGTACCATTCAGCACTCTCATCGCCCTGTTGTCACTTTGGCTTGGAGTGTCCTTTCCATTAACATTCATGGGTGCCTATTTCGGATTTAAACCAAGGGTAAAAAGAGAAGTTTTTACACTTCTTATCATTACTTACGTAGTGTTTTTGTTAATCATTGCTCGTCTCATGTAACCATTACTCCCATGAATGTAATTCTAGGCTTTGGAGCATCCTGTCAGAACAAATCAAATTCCTAGACAAATACCGGAACAAAGTTTTTATACTCAACCAATACCTGCAGTAATAATGGGTGGAGTTCTACCATTTGGATGTATATTCATTCAATTATTCTTTATACTTAATTCATTGTGGTAAGTAGCACGTTTTCTAGTCGCTCTTACAGGAAAAATACTGAAGTGCTACCCTCCGATTTTGACAAAATTTGGCAGAGACATAATTCTTATAAAAATATTTAATACGTATTTTTATAAGAATTATGTCTCTGCCAAATTTTGTCAAAATCGGAGAGTGTTCCCTTGTTAGAGTACCTTGCCCTTAACTCTCATTTTAAGTAATTTACCTGATTGCTTTCAGGTCAAGTCAAGTTTATTACATGTTTGGATTTCTCTTTCTGGTGTTTGTTATATTGGTGATTACATGTTCCGAAACGACGATTTTACTTTGCTATTTCCACCTTTGCGCAGAGGTAAGAAAATCGCTCTATTATATGGATAAGCTACATCGTGTCTACAGATTTATTGAAAATTGTTTCTTTCTTCTTCGCCAGGACTATCATTGGTGGTGGCGTAGCTTCTTAACGTCTGGATCCACTGCGCTTTATTTATTAGTTTACTGTATTCACTTTTTCATGACCAAGTTGGAGATAGAAGATGCCTTGTCTACATTCCTCTACTTCGGTTACACTTTCATCATGGTTTATTTATTCTTCGTTTTGACAGGTAACGCTTTGTTTCCCTCATTCAAAGTTGATTCATTGAAGTTTGATCAAAAAGTTCCTGGAATTTGTATTTATTTTAAGAAATATTTATCTATTCTTTAATATTGATGTGATCCCTCTCAAAGCAATCTCCATCGATTATGAAACACTTGTCTCAATTCTGTTTCCAATTTGCACAATATTTATGATATGCATTTGTTGATACACCTCTCAGCTCGTTCAGCGAGTTTGTCGAGTGTGAACTAGTGCATCGTCGTAATTAGTAAAAATTCTTCCGCATGAGCCTTCTTTTCAGCAACTTCCTAAATTCCTTCCAAGCCTGATTTCTTCATTTTCAAGTAAAAATAAAGCATTCCGGGATCTTTTTGATCAATTTTCGTATAATGCTTCATAATTGTATTCTATTTATTTGTAAATGTAATCAAACAGGGTCAATCGGTTTCTTCGCCTGTTTTTGGTTCGTGAGGAAAATCTACAGTGTCGTGAAAGTTGACTGAACTGCATGAAATGACGCCAATCGAAAACGAATGTGGTATGAGTAAATAATAATAATAATAATAAGAATGAATGACGGAGTCGATATCAATATTAATTTTGTAAAAAAGAAGTGCAAATGTTAATAGCATCGAGCTGTTTTATGCATAAGCATTATATATCTTTATACATGCATCAGAGTTTCTTGAATTTCTAACTCAGATTTTAATAAGAATTTTCTTTATCGCGTACTCTGAAGACTACTTATCGCAATACGTAAAATGTTCAAGTTAATTTGATAGAAGACAATCGAATCTGATTTGAAATAAGTATTTATTTTTGCAAAGTGTATTATATACGTGCATAAAACTTTGGATTTTTAAATCGGCTTACTAATTTTAATGCTTGCGTGAAAATGGAAGTATTCATCCACGTGAGCAAGTGAATACATTGCTAACAAATCTTTTCTGTATGCATTCTTTTGATAACGAGGTAGTTCTATAAAACTATAAAGATACGTGTATACATGTTACAAATGAATTATCCAGACGTAATGTATAATTGCTAGCTACGTATGTATGTCTATAATAAGCCGATAAACCTAAGGTATTAATCGACGATGTAAATAACACTTTTTCTCCTGTAATCGTCAAGCAGCTGTATCTCGAGTTTCCTGGATTATAAATTTTAATTGTAATGTATACACATTTTTTACCTCGTTCGTAAGAACGTATCTGTTGCGGCCCGTGATCCACACTTAAATCGCTACATTTATAGTTCATAAATGTACTTTGTTGTTCACTTTAAAAACAAATAGTATAACTATTTGAAAGATAAAGAATTCAGATGAATTATTCTGCTGCATAGAAATGCGATGGACCGCAAAGGATAAATTTTACTAACATGTTAGATATATTGTGAAATAAGAATTCTTAGATAAATGATTATTTATAGTGTCAAAAATTCTTTCAGATTGAAAATAGTTATATATTAGTTCCTGCAATGATTTCCAAACTTAATTGATTTCTTTACCTGTATCGTTTCGGATTACAGTTCTATTATCTCCTATATTCTTGTAGCCAATCATAACAGGTCTCGTACCAGTTAACTGTTCCTCCAAACTAACTTTTTTCATATACGCTAATATGTGGAGAACCGTAGAACCGAAATCCAAATCGATAGATTCTCCATTCTCTACCATTTTTCCGAAGTATCTATTTCCGATTATCGCAATAATTAAAACAGAGAAAAAATATAAAAAAAAAGGTACTGCTGTGTAATCTACAGAGTTGCTTCGCTGAAGTTCTGAAGAAAATCATTTCCGAGGAAAAGGGTGACGTCGGTAAGATTAGTTTAATGGCAGAAAAGATATTACAGTGTACAAACTTTCTGATAGTTAATCTAAACGCATCTGACTTGAAATTTACGTTTCATTCCTTTATTTCCTCTTTTCTACCGCATAGTATTTTTGTGACTGTGAAGTATTAATAGCTGACATGCACACAATCTGTAATCCACGATTTTTGTAAATTGAACGAGCAATTACAAGCGTTAGCGTTTAATGATGTTAATATAAATAAAGATCGAATAAGTTTACTTAAACAAATTTGTTTCTCAGATTAGCGAAATTAATCGTCGTGTTACTCCGCGTTATTCCCGGTTACATAGTTATCATCGAAGCATTTAGTTTACATTGCGGGTGGAAAATTACATTTAAAACCAGAACCACGATTTGAATACGCATCATGTTGAGCAAAAAATACATTTTTCAGTTCAAAGCATCGTGTATTTTAATCGTTCTTCTTTCATTTTATTTTGTAAATCTTTCCGATCTTATCTCTTACGGATGAATAACAAAATCTTTTAAACGTGTGTGTGACATCGTACAAAGTAAGCGGTAGATATATATTTTTTCTCGTATAATATCCTAAAGTGTTTTACATTTATTGATAATTTTACATATGTATGTCATATATCATGGCGATATTATACCTTTTCTTTTTATGTACAAACGTGTTTCTGGCTGTACCGCAAATTCATTTGCCGGCGAAAGCGAGAAACACCGCAACTTTACATCTCACTACCAAATCTGTGGTAGCAGTACGTGTCAAAATCCAAGGAAGTCTGGCTACACTACCGACAGAAAGAAAAAAGAAATAATCAGCATCAAGGAGAATATTCTCCTTAGCGACTTCTTTCTTATTATTATTATATAGGATGACTTCGGGGTCGCCAGTCAATTGAACCTGTCTCTTGTCGTCACTGATTACGGGCTTTGCGTTCAGTTGTTACTTTCCAAGAAGTTCACCCAACCTTCGATTCATTCTCTTTCGTTTCGTTTCGATGACAAAATGAACGGACTTTTTCGACGATCACGAATCACACATTTTTCTCGTGGATATTCTTTCACTATGCGTGGACAATTTTTTTTGTTTTTAAGTTCAATTATCTTCCCAATTTCCAGAGTTTACGCTCTGCGATACCGCACTACCATGTCGTAGAACGCGGTGCGGCTTCTCCTAGACGATGCAAATGCTATCGCGTGTTCGTTGCTACGGTTACGCCGCGCTGTTGGATAGTGAAAGTCGACCTGTAAGAAGTACGGTTTAATGCTGAAATTTCTCGGGACCAGGGATCGGGACATTCCTTAGTCATGCATCGAATTTGTACAGACTCTCTCGATCGGTGAACGGGAAAATAAACAATGGTTGATTGATTGAAATCAAACAAGGAGGAACATGGGAAACGAAAGGGGAGAAAAAAATAACTTTCCGTGAAACAAATAATCTAACACATATTTAAGAAAAAATTATAAAGTAGCTGGCACAAGTACGATGGTCGAGAAATGAACTTGAAATCGAACGTTTCAAAGAACACGTCTGGGATGTCCGTCTAAAGTAAAAAAGAAGGATTCGTCTGTCCGTGATCTGTGAGACCGTTTTTTAAACACATGACCGGTCGATGTTCAAATGTTCAGGAAGGTAAAGGTACGTTTATCGCTAGTGGTAGATATCAGAGAACTATTTTCTTGGACTGCGACGGCGGCGACCGTCCCTGTTGTTTCTCTCCGCACGTCTCATTTCTTCTAGTCTACGCGCGTGTTCCGCCATGTGTTGTCTTCTCATCTCTTCTTTTACGACTATCTGCAAATGCAACCTATTTTTAACCACACAATGCACGTAACAGTCACGAGTTGATTGTACCTATAATTACACACATAAAGCTCGCTACAGTCATAACTGCAAGTTTGATAAATATACGCGATTAATCTGTTTGTGTAAACACACAATTTACCTTCGCTACCACATACGGTAAAATTATACAGCTTAAGATGGTTACATCATTTCTATTGATTAAACTTTAACTAAAATATACCTGTTCATTTGTGAGTGGTAACCAATATATGCACGGCGTGGCCTTCGTCTTTCTAAAGAGGTCGTCCAATAGCTTGGCCGGAGGTGGTTCATCCTCTTTCTTTTTGAACTTCCGAGCCGGAGCTGGAAGATGTGCCTCCGCCGTGGGACTGCGACTCCTCTGCCGCCTCTTTTTATCGTGATCCTTCTTTTCACGTTCTTTCTCCTTTATGTGCTGTTGTCCATCTTCTTTCCCCAAATCCCATTCTCGGACCACCATCACCTATTAAAATATATTTTTCAGAGAAACAAAAAAATGACAAGATTGTGAGAGTAGACTCTAATAGCGACGCGATAAGGTAGAATTCAGAATTATAGAACTTGTAGACAGTTGCAAGTACGTACGATCCTATCAAAAACCGCCAAAACTATATGTATATTAAAATATTACAAATTATAAAAAAATGTTAGAAAAATAAGATGACAACCCTAGCCCTTTAAAAACCGTAAGCATGTTCGATGTACCTTCGTATTTGTTCTCTCTTCGCGATTCCAGTCTTGCTGCCATGAGTCGGACGGTACGAGGGGTTCTGTTTTTCTTGGAATGGATTGGTCTTTCGACAGTTCCCGCGCCATGTCTTCTTTGGTTGCGTATTCGACGTGAAGCCTCTTCGGATTAGAAACGGGCCAGGATATACCATGTAATGCTTGTCGCGTCTCGAACGCCTGATCCTCGTTGGCATACTTAAAGAATCCAATTAACATTTCCATTTTTATTATAATTTATTTTCAAAAAAGAATGCCTGTTCAGCGAGCCTTAAGACGTTTCGTTATCAGCTCGACGTACCTCTACGAAACACTTGGACTTGATTCTATCCATCCAGAATCCGTTCTCGACGATCGTACCGGTACGCGACAACAACTCTTTAATCTGATTCAAGGTGAAAGGGCGAACCAAGTTTTTGATTAAAAGAATATTCGTCGGTTTCGTAGCAGGTGGACTAGGCGATTTCACGTGCGGCGCTTCTTTTACAATTGATATCTTACGCCTTGCTGCTGTAAACCACAATTATAGAAAACAATGAAATATTTTGTTAATCAGTAAGATGTATTTTCGAATTGCTCACCTATATGATTGTCTATTTTCGCGTCCCCTTTCTTTGATGCACCATTTTTCTGCGCGATACTTTCTTCGTCGGATTTGTTTTCGTTCACCCCTTCGCTAGAATTGTGCCACTTTTCGCTAACTCGATAACGATCCCTTTCTTCGTCGTCGTCTTTCGAAAGACGGACTTCGTTTATTGACAATGGCTTTGCTCCCGGCACCAATGCCTGTAACAAAGTACGAAACGTATTACACGATTCTAGAATCCCATGACGCAAACAAATGGAAATATTACTTTGAGCGAATCTGTAGAAATAGAGAACGAGGGTGCGGTATCGGTAGATAATGCAGTACCCCATCGGCGTTTTCTCGGCATGCATTTCGAATCTTGTTCAGTATTATCGTGATTTTCCTGTAAATCATCATTTCTAAATTAATTAACACGTCCCTGAATTCGGAAGATAAAGAATTTTCCGCTAACAACGAACCTTGTTTGGAACACTGGCTTCGTTATTTGAGTTTGCATCGACATCTCCTTTTTTTATATCATTCTTTTCTGTTAACATCCTAGAAGAGCTAGAACAAAGTATTTGCTTAACGACAAGCAATTAGCAAGATAAATTAGTATACAGGGTGTCTCCGAAAATCATCTAATAGTGTTTACATAGCAGAGTAGAAGCTCGTGCATGAGATAAGAAACGTTATTTGTAAAAAATTAAAGCAAGCAATCAACAAAGTTATAAGAATTACTGAAAGACAAAACCGGCTATAATTCAGAAACAGATCATATCGGGCATACGATGATATGACCTTTGTCTCTTATTTTAGTATGTCGAATCTATTCATCAAGTTATGCCCACATTTTCGGAAATGTCCCGTATAAAAGGAATCGTTAATCGATGCTTACAATGATCTCTTCAAATTTACTTTCACGGGTTTGTAAGTCGTCGACTGAGTCGTCGCCGACGTAGAATATTCCGTTTTATCGGTCAGACTATCCAGCTTTTGTTTGTTCCCTTCGCTAGGTTCTGTTTCCATCTCCGCATCGTTCAATAAATTGTTTCTCTGTTTCGGGGACATGGACCGTTCTTTTTGCTCGTGGGAATCCTCTACGCTTGCTTTCTCTTCTTGCATGTACATATCGATCTCGAGATTTCGTTTGAGAGGAGGTTCATCCTCGGAATCCGGCGTGTCGGAATTAGACGAATCACGATATTTGGTTCGATGTTTTCTGCGGCTGGATTGTATCCTGCCGGTAGTTCTTTTACTCTTGTTACGTATCTCATCGTTCGACTCGGAGGACGAATTCGCTTCACGAGCTTTCTTTTTCTTATTCTCATCGTCATCCTCGTCACTGCTCGTGTTTCTTTGCGCGTTCTCGACACTGGTGTCTTTGTTGAACGACGGCTCTTCTTCGATTGATTTCTCGCTGGTATCTTCCGCAGACTTTTCTTCTTTTGGTATTACGTTTACCTCTTCGGACGATTGATTACCATTCGAACTAGGAGCCAACATGGTTGTACTACTCGACTTAATGGGTTCACTATCAGCGTTTTCGTTGGAGATATTTGCCTCATTTGATTCACCATGCTGATCTATGTTTGGTTTAGCGTCAGACAAGTTGGCCGAAGTGGTTTCGGGCAGGATCTCCTTGCTATCACTTACCTCTTCGTTGGAGTCCTGACCTGGGTATGAAGAGGAGGGATCGTTCGGCTGTTCAGTGCTACTGAGCGTTCTTGTACAAGAAGCCAGTTGCTTGTCTGCCGAGTCAGCCTCCTCTGCAACTCCCTCACCACTTTCCTGCCACTTGCTCGATTTTTTCCTGGTTAAAGAAGTATCTGATGATCCTTCTGACGCCGTACGCTGTCTAGACAACTTTAATTTTTGTATCTCGCCGGGCGATGCGTCTGATCTTGACACTTTCCATACTGCTGTGGTATTGCTGATCTCTTCGTCCTCTTGTGGCTTGTTCTTAACGTCCGTCTCGGTAGAAGGCGGTGGAACCTTCTCGTTAATCTCTTCTGTTTTTTCGATTATTATTGCTTCCTTTTTCTGCGTTACTACAGGCTGCTTCTTCTCAGTTTCTTTTTTCGGTATCTCCTCGACATTCTCTTGCTCCGGTGAGTCGGAAGGTGTTCTTTTCGCACGTCTTCGCGTTGACTTACGCGTTGGTCTTTCAACTTCTTTCTCTGGAGACACCACTTTCCCTTTATTTCTTTCACTTTTGCGTCTCATATCTGAAATCCATACAAATCTGATTGTTCCAAACAATATATTCAAATAATGCAATAAAATTGAATAAAATCCTAACAATTTCATATCCACAAAATGTGAAACATATTTCCTATTAGATTATTGAAGTGAAATTTATCAATATTTATGTCATAATTTGTGATATTATGATTGTTATATAAATAAATCTACCTAACAGAAAATATCCATAAATAGTTTTGACAAAAGCATTCGGAATATTTAATTTGCATGCCTAACCGCGCGAGTAACAAGCTAACGATATGATTTCAGGTACATCAATAATTATTGACCAAGTTATTGGGATGTGTAATGACAAACATATAAAAGCATATACGCGAGAATAGCTTATGCGTTTAACGACCAGCGATAGTTTGATATCTCGATTCCCAGGAGCCGATTTGTCTAATTGCTTGAAATGGATATATTTATTGGAACTACGAATCCAATTTGTGGTTACCTGAGAAACGCGCGGGCGTTCCTACATCTGAAAAGTACGTGATGCTACTTACTTAATGAACGTGTTCGACCTCGGTAGCCAAAGATTCGTTAGGTACGTTGCGTCTTCTTAGAATTTTTATTGACACATAAATATTGTATATCGCTGATTGCAACGACGTCTCCAACGACGCTTTTACTAACAATCGGTCGCGCTCGCACCACCGTACTCCATTGAACGTACTGCGTACGTTTCACATCGTATCAGACAGAGAGCTTGTGGAAACGGAACGCGCAGATTACACATGTGCAAAGGCAAACACTGCAACGCTATACGCTATACTACAATATGTATATTTATTTCAAAAATTCTGTCGTCGCTATATGGAACTCATATGCATATCTAACTCATGCATACATCGCCACATGTCGTTAACGACGATGCGTACTTGTCTGCGTTTATTTGGAGTCAAAATACAATGAGCTGGGTGTACATATGTATACTCAAACTTGCCTTCCTTGCTTTCGGACCGCTACCGCACCCCTTGATGTGTATGATTAATCAGGTTTATTGTTTATTCCTCATAATGAGTATTTCGTATTCCGCTTGTATTTTTAGAAGTTAAAGAAAATATAACTTGTACGTTTCGAATCAATCTGAACTTCCAATTTTAATAAATTGCAAGATTGTATAAGTTTTACAATTACTACATTATTCGTGTCTTACGCTATGAACCAAATTCAGGAAAGTCAAGAAAATTCTCTTTATTGCAGTTCACATTTAACTTTTTGTCGAGCGACTGGTGTGGTTAAAGGTGATACTTGCTCATTCAATATATTTCAATATTCGATTGTTGGCTCATTATATTACAAGGAAACAACTTAAAGCTTGAATTATTTGAGTTGGCTTATGTCCCACTCGTTATCATAATTTATTTATAAAAGAATTTTATATGTATTACATGGACTACGTATTTCTGATAGTTAAAAGAGATCTTAANATAAACTATTTTCCTGTTAACGACCAACATCTCTGTTGGTTGGTTTAATTTTACCAAACAAGGAATTATACAGTTCATCTTTAGCGTGATCTGTCCACGTGTCATCCACTGTGATAGGGGCCATAAAGTTCACTAATTTATTATGTACATTGTATCGTATTCTTCTACCTTTTGTGGCTCTCGTATCTATCTTTCTCTTCATCTTACTTCTCATGTTTTGCAATTGAATCCACTGCTTGCTTAGCTGTATGGGATCAGTAACATCTGACGATTTGTATTCGATTAGATCTCTTAAAAGTTGATGATAAAAGTCGTCGTCGTCGTAAATTTCAGAATCGTATTCTTGGATTCTTCTACCCTCGTTGTCATCAGCTTGCTCTGGTTTGCCAATAATTTTATATTCCGAACGTTTCAAACGGCTTCTTCTGCGTAACTTCTCTTTGTCATTTAAAGCGAATTCAATTTGTTTCAACGCCGTTTCGCTGGTACCCTTATTCAATTTACCAGTGGCTATCTTCGTCTTCTCGTTCCATTTCTGTACAACAGAATTTCTGTACTCCACATACGAATTATGATTATCGCTTAATATCTTTTCATAATTGCTGAGCTTCAATTTTTTCCTACATATGTTCTCATCCACATTCTCTGTATCATTGTCTGAAACACAGTCTTTAACTTCGTCCTCGTCTTCCGTGTCCGAAGGGATTTCTTCATCCATTGGATCGTCCACATTTTCCTCTTCCTCATCACCATCTTCTTCCGCTTTTCTCTTTCTCTTATTCGTAAGACTCTTCGTTTCAGGATACTGTTTTAAAAGAAGAGTTTGCAACTGTAGCATGTTGTTTAATAACAGTTTCAATTTGCTTTTTGTTTCATCAGTCGTTTTTACAAATTCCTTATCTATTTTCATGTCCTCGTAAATATCGTGCTGAGGCATTTGATTACTCGCAGTTAAACACTTCTGCAATTTGATTCTTACTTCCAATAAGTGTTCCCAGAGCTTCAGTTGACTTTGGACACAGTTACCTTTCTCAATATCTGCTCTGACATTCATCTGTGACATTGTCTGAATATTGTTTTCGCGTTTCGTAACAGAAGTTTCATTTTTATCTTCAACATCAGATTCCTCTGCCTCTTGTTCTGAACTGTTTTCACTGCCTTCATCTTCTTCTAAATCATCGTCACTGTCGTTATCCGGTATTCTTCCATCATCTTCTAAATCCTGTTCATTATCGCTGACATTCATGTCACCATCACTTTGTTCTTCCATGCTTTCCATTTCTTCATCACTTTCTGATGGGTTTTCTGGATCAGAGTCATTGTTATCGCTCTCGTACACATCTTTCCTTGAAACCTTTTTACCTTTATACCTAGAACACAAATGGTAACATCACGTAAGTTCCATTCATTCTAGATGAAGTAGAATTAACTCTCCATTTGCCTGCTGAAAGCCACTTTTAGCAAATGATTAAGCATAGCTAATGGAAGAAGATACACTATTTCTGAAGCATTCTGAATGCAAATTAAATTAGTGCAAATTAAATTGCAGATGGAAGATTAAATATTCACCTTTTGTCTACTTGATCCAAGAGATCTATATTTCGTCTACGAATTTCTGAAGCTTGAAAATGATCGTCAGAATCGTCACTCTCTTCATAGTGGTCGACTACTTTCGCTGTCGTGTCCTCAGCCTCGTCATCGGAATTGAACGTAGCCGGCGTTGTGGTCACCAGCGAATTTATTTTATCAGCCAATGTTTGCTTTCTTGTTTTCAAAGCCATTGTTACGCATAGACAAATCTAGATTGAATCAACTACGAACGTCAACTCTCGACACGTGCACCGCGTTTGCGAGAAAACATAACCTATAATATGCACAAATACTACATAATAAATAGTACTAATGTAAGACCATAAACTGGAGAGAATAATATATTTCATCGAACTTGTCGATCCAGTCGAACTATCACTCGTACAAACGACTTTTCTTCGTTATATATCTACTGGTATATAGACAGGGCTGCCAGAAAATCCCATCATATCCCATATCCCTTCTACTTCTACCAGCAAATTGGCTCGATGGCTCGATTTCGATTGTCCTCGCGATGCCATGTGGCCAGTGGGGACTCTGGGGACCAGAGATCTCAGAATTTATCCCGCACGGCTCGCTTCTCCTCTTTTTCGCCCATATTTCGATCCCCACTACTATTCTTCTCATTCGCCTTCGCTGTCCATGCCTAATATACCCCCATCAAGTACCAGTCCCCATCATGGTCGCATCGTCCCCACTTTCCGGCAGAGAGATAAATTCTGAGATCCCTGGTGGGGACTCTCAATTTCTCTCTGGTATTACATGGCAATGATCTAGTATATGTAGATCACATAAATCATAAGTGTTATTAATCTAAATTTAATTTCCAACCCCTAGGAATCGGTTTATCAAAATTCGTCACAGGGAATCATTTAAAGTAGAGAGTTCAAGCTTTAATTAGAACTAAAGATAATCCCATTTGGATCAATATTAACATAGCTGTGAACAATTAAAGTTTGACAATGATTTTCATAAAGATAAATCTCTGATTGAAAGTTAATTTCGGTAAAATTACACTATCCAATATAAAAAAAATTCTGCAATATCCATCATGTGATATTTATAAAGTTTCTCGTCTTAAACACGAATCTGGAAACAGAATCGCTCTATCATATGTAATGTATGAGATATATTATTTGAAAATAATCAAAGAACCGTTTGTTCATATGCATTTATTCATTTTACATTAAATCGAATGATAACGTGTAAATTACTTTGAAAATACAATACGATCAGATAAAAAATTTCTATTATTTTATATATTTACAAATCCGCTTTTTAATGTTATACAATACGCGCAAACGTACATACGTTAATCGACGTATGAATTTTACGCTTTGAATCAATTGTATTTTTATTTACAGGAGAAGTTTTGTAACTTAAAATATAACGAGTATATCGAAAATTTATTGAAACCATGGAGTGTCAAATGTATATTCGTTTTACGCAGTGTTCATTCTTTGCACGAACTTTTTTATAAAGAATCTTTTACAAGTCGCACAGCAACAACCAGTATAAAATTTACTAAATACGAAAAAGTTAAGGTGAATGTCCCAATTTCTGTTCACGTTCGAATTTTTACATACTGGCTTATTTGTCTATGATTTTGAGATAAAATTATAGGTAAAGGTGCCAACGAGTAGAAATTATGACGTGAATAGAAATTGGGACATTCGCTACATGACAGTGGTCAAATTGCAAATAATGATAATGTTAATCTCTCTACAAAAATTGAAATACGATTTTAGGAATGTTGTAAGTACGATAATAGAATTTGTTTGTAAACAATATCACAGCGTTGGTTTTTCGTCCGTCGGTTCTTCTTTAATGGGATGATTACACTCCATTAGCGCAGGATTCGCTACTGCGATTATATTGTCTCCACGCGACGCTATTACCTGTTTTAAATTATATAAAACACGCACATCCAGAAATAAATACGTGTTTACATGGAATCTATTTATCTTCATAAGAATAAAATAGAAAAATACCTTAAGATTGAAATCGCTCTCTTTGTCTGGATTATCCGTTTCAACTTCGTTAGTGTCCTATAAAGAATAGAATTCGAGAAAAAACGTTTGATACAAAATTATTGTAGAACATATCGACGCTCATACGTGAGTACATTACAGCTCTAACTTGAGTATGTAAGCTATATGAATTGAATCTAAAATAGTGTATCAATTTAAGATCCAACTCGAGATTCCGATTCTTTCCGAGGTCATTTGAAATTTGAAGCTTCGTTCAAAGCTCGAGATTCCGATTCTTTCCGAGGTCATTTGAAATTTGAAGCTTCGTTCAAAGTTTAAGATTGAGGATTTTATAGAATAGATTTATATTTCACGCGCATGTTAAGTGAGTCGGGAATTATTTTGGATAGCTGTACTGTTGTGCGAGTTAGAATTATATGAATAAGAGGCGTCGATATGTAAGTAATTATAGGATCGTTTGGCTTACATGTATCGACGAAGACTCTTCGTTTGAGAACGAGAGCTGACTGTCGGAGTCGCTAATCTCTTCGATACTCGCACTGAACATACCATTGTTATTCTTCTTCCTCCAAACTGGACTAAAACAATGCGAACGTCTGAACATCGACATGAACTTGTAAAACGATTCATTCTCAAACATGACAATCATTTATTATATGTATACTTATAGTCGAACGAAATGAATGTATTATTAAAAATATAAACAAACGTTGAAGAATCACCTTGAAGATCTGTGTCTCCTGATTGTCGAGTTACTTATATCCATCTCAGGACAACGAAGATCCAACTCCTCCTAAAACAGTTAATAGCTACAGACAGTACAAATGACAAGCGTAACGTGATAGGAAATGAAAGTATGAAGAAAGCTGGATTTTATAGTACTATCTTTCTTATAATTAGTATGAGAAGTAAGCACAACTCGTGAGGACACCAGGACCAAAGCATAGAAGTCCTAACGAGTGGGCCAGTAAAGACAATTCACTTTGTATATTTAAATTTGAAATTATAAATTAAATACTTTGATTATGTACAAAAATAGTTATGTTCTACGTGTAGTAGAGGTCTTCATATTTTTCTAATAATGAATGATTTCAAAGAAATTTAATAAACGGTTAGCGGAAAGCCATGCATGTTATGCGGAAGCTATACTTGACCTTTTCTGCCGTGTGCTTCGAGTGCATGTCAACGTGGTGGTAGTTTACGTGTTGCAATCTTTTACGTGCTGGTTGCATAGGTGGTTAGTGATTAGCGCTCATGCGTTGATGCAGTAGCTCATTAATACGCCAACGATCCCAAATCGAATTCAAACTACTGGATCTTGTCAAGGATTTTGAAACGTGTATCATGTCTTCTAATAATTATTTGAAACATTAGTATTCTATTCGTTCGTATGATTTTCTTATTGTTACTTTCATTATTTCATTTAATAAATAATATGAAGAGAATTATTTCAAATATCTTAACTTTCTTTTATAAGAGATATAAAATTTGACTTTGACATGTTTAGTCTGTTAAAAAAATTCTTGACTTCGGCCCACGTTTAGGATAATTCTGAAATGGGATCACTTGTACGTGGCTTATTTTTATCGTCGAGGTGAGCTAACCTGCGTCGCATCTTCATTCTCACCCTCGAGCTCGAGCTTTTGCCGTTTCGCGCGTTCGGTTTCGTTTTCTTCCCCATTTTCACGCGGCCTCGACATGGACAAGCTGAAGTATTTCAGTTAACTTAAAAACTACCTTATTTCTTTGAAAAATATTATTAAAGAATATTATAATTAAATTTCGTTGATAAATTTTAATAGAGAAGATATGTTTGAAGATAAATTCCGAAAACGTAAGATAAATGGACGATAGTTTTGTAAGAAGGATAAGAGGTAGTGTCACTCTAGCGCCCAGAACAATAGCCTAATTTTGACAATTTTTTATGGGAATATAATTAATGTATTATAGAATACTTACTAATGACTTTTTGAATAATGATACCCAGAATCTCTCACAATACGCCGGGCCAAAGGAAAAAGTTCATCTCTTCTAGTAAGAAGGGCAGGTACGAACCTGCAAATTTGCGCAGCGGCCTCGTTTACAGACACTTCGTGTAATGTCAACGGTTTCTCCGGTTTCCTCTTACAGTCAAACCTTCCGTAAATCGCCGCGTATTTGCGTATCTCCTCCATTCTACGCGGATCACTATCAGGCATAGCCATTACCATCTACAATTCCAAAACCAAATACATAATCATATTAAATATCTACAATCTATTGTTCACTTATAACATTATAATTTATCATTGATAATGAATCCGTAATCTAGAGTTAATGAAAAAATAAATCAAGCTTCACAGTTCTAGTACCTCTAAATTCTTGCAAATCTTTTTCTTAACATTATGAGGTTTCGGGTCAACGGGACGTATAGTAGCGGCCAGTCTTTCAGCAGCCTCCGCGAGTCTTTGTATTTGCGATTGTAAAAGCGTCGGCGTTGGTTGCGTTGGACTCGCGGGTGCACCGCCTCCGCCGCTGGGACTTGGAGTTGTCGCGCTACCACAGGACGACTCGCATGTTCCTACCTACAAGTATTAATGTACTTATGAAAAAAAAAACAAGAAATAAAAGAAATTAAAAACTTGTTGCACTATTTACAATTGTTTCATGTAATCCATAATCTATTTATTAATAGCTAAGATAAATGTCCCGGTTCCTATTCAAATCTCAATTTGTACTTACTGGCGTATTTATTTATAATTATACATGATATCTTATAAATATAGAAAAATAAATCAGTAGAAATTGGGACATTTATCTTATTTAAAAATGTTTTGAATGGAAAATATACCTGAAGAATACCAGGACTGTGAGAAGTAGCGTAAGGAAGGGGGGTATTCGGGCTGGGGCTTTTGCGAAAGGTCGTAGAGGCGACAGGCGCAGTTACGCTTGTAACAGAAGCGATGGGGCTGGCGCTTCTACAGGGCAACGGTGTAAGGGACACGTAAGATGTAGGAGTCCCCGATTGTGAGGTCGTCGTGAACCCTTGGAGATTTTGTACTTGCGGTCTGGGACTCGCGCAAGGGAATCCTATACCCGCGGCAGTTTTACATGTGGCTGTCGTCGGTACAACGGGCGTTTGAAAAAGTGCTGCAAACAAATGTTTAAAAAAAAATTATTTTCGTACCGAAGTAAATGGACGAAAATTAGTTTTTTAAATAATTTTTGTTAGCTTTTCAATGAAAAATGAGTTAAAAAATTAATCTCTTCTCATATTTGTTCAGCTCGCTCTGTATATAAAAAGACGATAGAGCATCGTACACATTCTAGATTCTAGAAGAAATAAGGAAGAATTTGATCATAGATGTTTTGGATCGTTGGCTCTGTGTTTTTTGTTTAATTCTAGTCTGTTCTCTAGGACAAGTCCATTCATGAACGAGTCACTTCCAAAGGCGTAGGTTCAATAAGAGTTCATTAAAGATTTAAACCCGAATATTTGTTTTTTAAACCCATTCCCAACAATTCTTGTTTCATATTAAATTAATATTGATGACTGGATTTCTTAGTGACTTTGGATAATTTCTTTGATATCACACTTAATAGACTGAGAATCAAGTAAGTTTAAAGAGGAATTAATTTAATATTGTGGTACTTTACAAGGATTCGTGATCCATTCCTGAAGAGCTTTTTGTAGCCTCCTAACGTGAAGCGGTTTGCTCGCCATACCAACGAGAGCCATAATTTCAAGAAATTCTTCCTCTCCCGCGTCGCATAATTGTTGGACGTCGTCGCCACCTAAAATAATTTAGAACGTTTCAAGCTCGACGTTTTTCTTTCAAATCTCTCACACTACTGGCCTAAACAAGATTCATCAATTCACATTGTATCAACGTAATTGTATCACGTTCAGAGTGTAATAAACGTATCCATGGTTTTCAATTAAAATTCATTAGTCATTGTTATTGAGAGACGTGCGTCATGATTTTTTGCTGCTCATAAGTACATACATCAAGTAAAAAATGTATGTGAAAAAAACGGTAGTTCTAAAAATAGAACTGTCCGTATGCGTGCAATTTATTTCACGACTAATGTCACACTGCGTTTTTTATTTATCTTCAACATTCCAATTATTATACAGCGAAGCGAAGCAGAATATCAATGTTATTGTTCTTCTCTTAAAAAAAAAGTCGATTAAATTCATTTACCCATTTCTAGAAGCGTGTCGTAGTAGCTCAGTAGAGAGGCACGTTGCATCACCCTGTACAGTTGCAGTTCCGCTTCATTCTGAGGTACGGACGTCTGCACCACTAAATAATTGATCGTAAATAAATTATTTCATTATTGGAGCCATTGAAGTAGATGACGTTATAAAAAGTTCGCCCATTATTATCTCATATTGCTATTAAATAAATATATCTTGTTTAGACTGAAAACCATATAAGTCACAAAATAATAATTATAGAAATATTATTAGATAACACTGAGAAACACAGTAGGTTTATCGAAATTAATGTAGATACAGTCGAGACAAATATTAAGTGAACACAATTCAAAGTGGATTAGCTTAAGGATGTATTGGCTATACAGTTAATCCTAAAAGTTTATGTATCTTAGAAAAACGCATTTCCTATAATTAAAAAGAAATCAAACGTTGGAAGAACAATGCTAATAATAAATAGCTACGTGGT